ACTTGAGCTACTTTATAGCCTTTCCATGTACTAGTGTAGGAGATTCATATGTCTTTTGGATGAATTGGTGATCTTTATTCTTGTTACTATAATAAATTTGCAGTGAATCATTTCTAGCAAATAATACGTATCCACATAAACTTTATTTTATTAGAAACTTCTCAATAAGTAGCACCCACCAATCATCAGATTATTTCAAGCAAAAACCTAGAGTCATCCTTGATTTCTTTCTTTATTTCATACTCCATGTGAGGTGCATCACCAAATCCCATTTGGGTCCACTTCTATAGTGAACCTCTGCCTGCCTCTGGCTGCCCAGTTCAGTCTGCTGTCATCTACTGTCTGGACGACGGCCACATTAGATGCCACTGGCGGGAAAAACCGGTGCAATCCAGCTCCTACGATTCTCCCAGTTTCCATTTTTGTTGGAATGATTTTTTAATGTAAATCGAGGTATGTCAGTCATCATAAAACCACTCAGTGATTCATATTGAATTTAAAATAAAATTCATATTTTTTTTCCTTTTTTTTAAATCCTCACCTGAGGATATTTTTTCATTTATTTTCAGACAGAGTGAGGGGAGGGGGGAGAGACATCAATGTGAGAGAGACACGTCGACTGGCTGCCTTCTGCACGGCCCTGACCAGGGCCAGGGACCTTACCACAACCAAGGTACATGCCCTTGACCAGAATCAAACCCGCAAATCTTAATGGCTGATGCTCCAACCGCTGAGCCAAACTGGCCAGGACCAATTCATACTTCTTACCACAGCCAACAAGATCCGAGAGTTTGGTCCATTTCGGATGTGTGTCAGTCGCTCAGTTCTGGTCTCTGAACAGGCTCATTGGGCACATGCTGCCCTGGAGCCATTGCCCTTGTTCCGTTTGCCTGCAGTTCCGTCCCCAGGTCTCTTCATGACATGCCCTTTTGTCATCAGTGTAAGTTGTCACCTCCTCAGACGCCTTCCCTGATGTGTAGTTCCTTTATAACTGATTACAGTCTGCCTGGTTTATTCACTTGTTTATCATATTCTTCCTCCAGTAGAAGACCTGTCTCTTATCATCTCTCCAGAGTCTGTCACACTGCCTAACCCATAAAAACCACATTCTGGTGAAATCTAAGACAGGATCAGTTGTAGGACGCAATATTCTAAGCCATCAAGAAAATAGAACATTGCAAATTAGACTGTGGCACAATGCTAAAGACTGTTGATTATAAGATAATCTTGACTTCTGAGATATTAAAATGTTGGAGAAAATGCATGCTTGAATTGATGAAATACTTACCTAGTTGAGTAAAAAGATGAATGTACTGTGATTAATCATGATAACTTGTTTGTGGTCTTTTCAGGAAGTTATTCTGAAAAAGACAGAAATGTAGGGGCCAACAGATGTAGGCAATGAGTAGCATTTTATTTGAACAAGTGTGAGTAATTCAAAGGATTATATGAGTAATTGTTCCAAACCGCCAATGACTAGTTTATCAGCAGTGATTAAAACTTTGTAGGTGCTGTGTGGGCTGGTAAACTTGAATTCTCAAAAACACTTCAAGACATTCATGTAGTTGTCCTGAAAGTAGGTGTAGGCCCTATTCTGTAAAAGGAAGAAAGACCCCTCCCTGCAAAGATGGGGACAGTTAGCAGTGGGAAAATGAGGGACTATGATCATAGTATTTCTGTTTAATAAATATGAGATAATTTGGTTCAGTATAGTGGGGTATGGATTTTGGAACTTTCAGAAAGAGGCAAAACGCAAACAGTGTGACAGTGCATGTTCTGTGGCAATGGAATAGAGTTGCAGGCAGATTTGAGAAGCACTGAAGAAGAGAAGGTACTTGGTTGGATGTTAGATGGTAGGTACCCTAATGTGGTCTAGTAATGAACACCCCTGCTGAAGGACTGAGGAGATAACCGGCTCCGTTAGGCTGCCTTGCATTGTTCTGGTCCCTAAACGACATTCCATCTCTATAAGACCTGACTGTTCCTAGGTAGCTGTGAAATTACTACTTCCACTGTTATCGTTTCTGTGGTTAGAATAAAGAAATTGATAGGTGAGGGAGGCCAGATTAAAACTTTGACCTGGGACTAAGAAATTCTGGCTGTTACCCCCAAAAGTAGATTCCTTCCCAATACATAAGAGTCACTGAGATGACCCAAGTGAGCTCCTTCCATGTGGGGTTTTCAGTGGAGAAATGTCCATACTTCTCAGGTGGCTTCATGCTCAGCCCTGAGCTCTGCTCTGTCTGAATAGCCTCACCTTTCTAAACTCGCCTGTGTGCATCGGTCCTACTGCTCGTCTCTCAGCCCCGCTGAGGCTGCGTCTTTGAGCTGAGATGTGCCCTGAGGGCAGTACATACTTGATCCAACTGGGATGTGGGAAAGGTGTGGGTATTCCTACTGGAATGTGCTGTGTTCTGTTTACCTCCGGGCCTTTGCCCATGTTGTGTCTTCTGTCTGCTTGAAACACCTGTAATCTTATCTAAGTCCCACTAATCTTAAGATCTCATTTTAAACCTCTTTTCTTCCAAGAAGCCTCTTCTGAACCTCCCAAGTGTGGGGTTACCAAGCCTCCCCCACATCCTCCCTGACCCCCGGGCGGGCATACTCACCGCTCCACGTCACAATGGCCTCTTCAGTGACAGACAGAAGCAAAGCTTCAGCGCCTAACCCAGCACTGGGCTCAGAATCAGGCTTGGTAAATGTCGACAAAATGCTAAAAGAGGAGACATTTATCTTATTTATTTATTTATTTTTGGTGTGTGCCCCTAGCGGGAACTGAACCCAGGACTCTCTGCTCATAGGCTGAGGCTCCAACCGCTGAGCCAAACCAGCCAGGGTGAGGAGACATTTATTAATTCTTAAAATGTTTTGTCCATCTCACTTTAAGCCAGTTTCTTCTAATATTATACATGGTTTCTGTCTGTTTACAAAACTTTAGAGGACCTCTGTCTTGAGCTATACATGACAGTGATTTATGATAAAAGATAATGGTGGATATAATAACAGTATCATAACTCTGTAACAACGTAATAAAATCTGATTGTAACTATAGGCAGACTCATCCAAAAAAAAAAGAAAAAAATCATTTGGGGTAAGTATTTGAAAAACTTCTCTGGACCATGTTCTGTACAGTTGTAGCATAGAATTATGTAGTCATTTCCACTTTCAACAGGTAGGTGCTAGTCGGGAGGCTTGTCCAAAGACAGACTCTATCGGTTCACTCTCAGTCTGCTCAAGTCCTTTGCTGACACTAAATATATTGTTCCCACACATCCCTCAGTGTGCAGTTCCTTAACTGCCTTTCCTCCAGTCTGTGCCAGATAAACAGCAAAGTTAACAAAAGTTACAATGAGTTTAGTGTTGTTTTTGTTTTTAGCTGTTCTTAGTAATGATGTTTTTCTTTCCCGGACGGGGTAGCTTTTCCCCATTCCTCCCTCAGTCTTCACAGCAGGCATTTTTCATTAAGGTCAGCGAGTTTTGCTTCCCAGAATGTCAGGTTCACCCACTGAAAAAGACATGGTGCAGCACTGTTTGTCAATGGGAGCTGGCACGGCCCCTTTGCTACATTACGATGAGCAAGAGAGATTATGATGCTATGAAATGTTCACCACTTATGGAGAACATTTGAGGTACTTCTGGTTCCAAACGAGTTTATTTCCTTTATCTGTTCAAAGTTAGTTGTGACCCGGCCAGTGTGGCTCAGTGGTTGAGCATCGACCCATGCACCAAGAGGTCACCAGTTCGATTCCTGGTCAGGGCACATGCCCAGGTTGTGGGCCCGATCCCCAGTGGGGGGCATACAGGAGGTGGCCAGTTGATGTTCTCTCTCATCAGTGTTTCTATCTCTCTCTCCCGCTCTTTTCCTCTGTCTCTAAAATCAATAAAGAAAAAAAATAGTTTAAAAAAATAAAGAAATGAAAGTGAGTTGTGCCCACACTTTGTGCTTTGATCTTTATTGTAATCTTTACCACCACCATGTCCGAATCCCGCATAAAGTGCCCAAGGCAGTGTTCCAGGGTATCCACCCCCACTCAAACTCTATGGATTTGAAGACGTGCATTTTATAAATTATGGAAGTGGTAGCCAGGTCTCATTAGGATTTTTTTTTTTTTACACTGTTGTGATTGGTTTAGTTTTCTTAATTGTTCCTGTGATTCTGATAAGAACTCTTATTATATGTTCTCTACATGGGAGAGGCAGGGAAAATAGAGGGATTTTTGGCAAAAATTTTTAAATTACTATAATATATATATATATATAGAATCTATTCTTTTGTTCTTTTCAAATAAATGTGCCTGAAGATAAATGCTGAGGTATTCTGTAGCAAAGTTGGAAAATCTGAAACACCTGGTCAATCTAGCTGTTTTTTGTAGCGGTGCGTTGTCTGAATGCTGTCTCACCGTGGGGTTTCTTTTTCTTTCTTTTTTTTTTAATCCTCACCCAAGGACATTTTTTGTACAGATAGAGTGGGAGGGAGAGAGAGAGAGAGAGAGAGAGAGAGAAACATCGACGTGAAAGGGACACTTCGAGTGGCTGCCACCCACACGGCCAACCAGGGCCGGGGACAAACTGCAACCGAGGTACATGCCCTTAGCGGGAACCGAACCCGGGTCTCTCTAGACCGCAGGCCGATGCTCTAACAGCTGAGCCAAACCGGCCAGGGCTCACTGTGGGGTTTCCAGAGAACAGGATGATAATTTGCATCTTTGATGAGCCTATGGTTTAGGTCTATTGAAATTCACAAATACTATAATGATAGAGAATGCTTAAACATACTATAAATCATTTTAGAAACATTATATAGTGATTAATTATTGTGGTACTACTCAATGTAGGTACCAAAGTGATTGCCATTTACTATGTTAGGAATCATGACAAATAACAGGTAACTCTTTACTATAATCATTAAATCAAGAATACTATATATATTTTTTAAATATATAGGAGAGATGTAATAACCAATGCGTTTTATTTTCTCTCGCATCTGCTCTTTCACACAGGTACAACTTGGCCAAGTAGAAATCAAATGCCCTATCACAGAATGTTTTGAATTCCTGGAGGAAACAACAGTTATCTACAACCTAACGCATGAAGACTCCATCAAATATAAATACTTCTTGGAACTTGGCCGTATTGATTCCAGCACCAAGCCATGTCCTCAATGCAAGCACTTTACAACCTTCAAGAAAAAAGGACATATTCCCACCCCTTCCAGATCAGAAAGCAAATACAAAGTAAGCATGTTCACCAGAGTTGTGGGTTAGATGGCACATGATGGGAGCAGCCATTAGGCCAACTTGTGGTGGGCAGTAAGTGGGCTTCCTTCCCTTGCCAGAGTCTCAGGTGAGTATATATTGGCTCTGATTCTGAAAATGTATGGTTTGGGGAGGCTGATGATAAGAAAACACTCTTAAGGATTTAATTAGGATTTTTCTTTGACTTTAACCATGTTTCACATTCCTCTAGTAGCATAATTGAAAGGTTAATCTTTAAAGTAATTGTCATTACTATTACTAAATATTAGATAAATACTAAGGCTCTCTTTAAATTTAGTATAAGCTTGACTTGTTCAGTAGACCTGATATGAATCCCATCTGGCTCTGTCTGTAATAAGTAAAAATAGTATAAAATGCTGTTCATTCTTTTATTCAGCAAATACAAGAGGTCGGTGTATGCGAGGCAGTGTGCTAACTTTGGTGGATACAGAGGCAAATGAGACATAATCCTTGCTCTAAAAACTGTCTAATGACAGTGAGAGACATGTGCTCTAAGATGACAGTTAGCCCAGGTCGGTTTGGCTCAGTGGTTGGAGCGTCGTCCTGTGGACCAGAGAGTCCCAGGTTCGGTTCCCTCTAGGGGCACATACCAAAAAAATAAATAAATAAATAATAAAATAAAAGGACAGTTAAATAAAATTAGTCAAAAAAAAAAACCAGACAAACAAAACATGAAACCCAATACACGTGTGCTTTCAGGACACTGATGGAGGAGTTGGGGTTAGGAAGTCAGGAGAGGCTCCATGGAGAAGATGCATTCTCCAGGCAGATAAACAGATAAACCGTGGAGAGGATTTTAGAGCACGAGATGAGTCAGTACTCAGGCCTGGAGGCCAGGCAAGCATGTGGGAAACAAGTGCTTGGTAGAGCTCGAGGAGGGGGCATGGGGGAGGCGGCTGGTCAGGTATTTAGGAACAGATCCTGAGCCTTTTCCGCCGTGCTCAGAAGTCTGCATCATTCCGGAGGCGTTACAGACCCATCATGCTGGCAGCTGAATAGAGGGTGCCAGCGGAGGCAGGGAAGCCTGCGGCCGGCTGTGGGGGGACATCTTTGATTCACAGCCTTGACTGTGGGTTAGAATCACCTGGGGAGCATTTGGAGCCACCAGGGCCCAGGCCCAGCCCGGAACAATTGTCTGGAGACTTTTTGCACCTCAGTAGGTGACTTTAGTAGGCGGCAGAATGGGGACACTTTGAAGTAAAGGAAGTGGAAAGTGGTGAGGCCCGCGGCAGTAGTTTTCATCCTTGTCATTACAGCAGAATGGCAGGATGAGGTGGTCTCAAAGGCTGCGTGAAGTCATCTCAACCTCAGGTAAGTTCTCACCTGTGTTCCGTGTCTCACGAGCAGTGGTTGCTACATTATTCATTCTGGAGCTTTCGGGGACCAGCTTTAGCAGGTAGTTTTCTCCACCTTTGGTAGGTTAGGGAGAGCCTCTTAATGACTGCTTGGTCTTCGAAGCTGCGTGACTCTCATAGTTCATTGCTTTATTTCCTATTTTTGTGCAGTCTAGTCTCTTTAAGCATAACTGTAAGAAGAAAAAAAAACAAAACACTTCTTTTTTTCTTCTCTAAAAAGTGTATTTTTGAGGTTATAAAATTTTATAACCTAAATAATACCCTCGCAGTGATTTTGAATGCTGACTTACCAATAGAATACTTTTATTTGACTCTGTATGTTCTTAGGTTATTTCATTTCAATTCTATGTGATTGATGATATCAGAAATTACTTGGTTTAAAAGGACTTATTATATAACAGGATATTTAATTTTTCCTAAATTAGGTTTAGAATTATCTATTATATATTTCATATAATACACAGTTATATAATTTATATATTTATATACTTATATATAAATGTATATAAACTCAGACTATACTATTCTAGAATTTGTGTTAATTAAAATATGGATACATAATTGAATCAAAGTAGAAACAGTTTAAAACTATATTGCTCTTATGAAGGGGTAAAAGCAGTTATAATTTAAGGTGCAATTATAGCAAAAGTGAAATGTGACAGGTTTCATTTCATCCCAGATCACCAACTTATGTTGTAATGAGCCTACCTGATCACAATGCACATGTATTGAGAGTGAAATATGGGAAATATGAAAACTCTAGGATCCTATATTGATATAATTCTGAGTGAGCCGAGGATACTGATAACATCTCTCAGTTCCAGGCTTCCTCCAATGTCTCCAGTGGGGCTGTAGGAAAGAAGACAAGCAGGGGACAGATGGATCAACATCTCAAATCTGCAAACTTGATTGTTTTGTTTTTGGTGAGCAAAGGGGAAGGAAATTTAGGGAGAGGGGGAATTCAGTACAAAAAAAAAAAAAAAATGTTACTGATTATGAAGCAGTTAAAATCCACAGGAATGGGTGAGGGAAGAAAATCTCAACATAAAGTTGAACCATTAAGCAACTTTCAAGAAAAATAAAGCCACTGCAGAATTGGAGGATGGTTATGGTTATTGCTCTTTGCTTTTATAAAAGATCTATAACAGAAAATGTAAATAATCCCTGTGTTTTATAATCCCTGTGTACAAAATTCTAGGAATAATTCAAGCAATTCCTGGAACAATGATTTCACTGTTTTGTGTAATATTTATATAGCATTTTTCACCATTGAATCATTGTACTCCAGGCTCTCACATTAACATTTACTACCTATTTACATGTCTCTACCTGTCTGGATGTTACGAGTAGGGACATGGATACTCCAGCAAACCAACTGTGACATTCATGATTTCAGTATCATCCTAACTGAGACTAAGATCTTCATTCTTTGCAATAAACCAATGAGTATTTTTTTAATTTAATTTTTTTAATTTATTTTTTTATTGTTATTGTTGAAAGTATTACAAATGTTCCTCCTTTTCTTCCCCATTGACACCCTCTGCCCCGCTCCTACTCCCCACCCCCTGCACTCACTGCACTGTTGTTTGTGTCCATTGGTTATGCATATACGCATATAAGTTCTTTGGTTTATCTCTTCCTGTCCCTCCACCCCCTTCCCTCTGAGGCGTGTTAGTCTTTTCCCTACTTCCATATCTCTGGATCTATTTTGTGTGTCAGCTTATTTTGTTCACTATATTCAACAAATAAGTGAGATCATATGATAATATGATACTTGTCTCAAATATTATTTTAGGTTTGCTGTATTTTTAAAAATTACATTTCCCCAATAACAGAACCCACTTCCAAATTAGTGTAGTTTATCATAACCTTAAGGGTAGTGAATTCAAGTACTTGAATGCAATAAATTGAGTCATAAGGCTACAAAAAACAAAAAAGGTTGCTACTAATGTGTGACATATCTGGGTAATTCAAAATTGCTTTATAATATTGTTTACAGCCTAAAGCAGGTTTTGTATCCATTGCTAAAACCTTTATAATGTATACTTCAATGTTATTCTTTCTGAGTCATTGAGTTACCATATCTTAATCCAAAACGTCACTCTTTGAGCATTTATTATGGATTCAGCTGTTAATTCAGAATCATGTAGCATAGAAGGTTAAAAATTTCTTAAAACTATCACAGCTAATGTATAGCAAGAAATACCTTTGATTGTATCTTAGATGAAATTTAAGATCTGAAATATCATATTTGGGGATTTCATTTGTATAGTTTTTTTAATTGTTGTTTTGTTTTGTTTTTATTGTAAGTACCACTTAGGAATTTTTTGTACTCAGTAGATGGAAAAGGGGTAAACAGAATCTATCGACAAGAAGTAACAAAAACTCTTAGATGCCAGTTTATGCTTCCCAGCCCTCACTCAACATCTCTCTTCTGGCAAAAGTTTGAATAAATAGAGCTTTTCATTATGTTCTGAACTCTGTCAAACTCATACTATATCAAATATAACAAGTGCATTTCTGAATTGAGAGAGTTACATTTAGACAACCTTGCCTTTGGTCAGATCCAGCCTTTGTCATTCATAATCTGTGTCTTCTTGTCCCTTCAACTCTTGTCACGAGACCAAAAAATTTTACCATTCCATTTCTGCAAAGTTGATTTCATTTTTCCAATTAGAAATCTAATTTCTTTTCTTTCTTTCTTTCTTATTTTACTTTTGTTACAGATGTTTCTCCTTTTTTTCCCCCCCATTGACACCCTTATTCCCATCCCCCCCACACTGTCCCCGGCTTTGTTGTCCGTGTCCGTTGGTTATGCATACATGCATATAAGTTCTGTGGTTTATCTCTTCCATCCCTCCACCACCCCCTTTTCTGAGGGTTGTCAGTCTGTACCCTACTTCCACGTCTCTGGGTCTACTCTATTCCTCAGACTGTTATGTTCATTATATTTCACAAATAAGTGAGATCATGTGGTATTTGCCTTTTTCTGTTTGGCTTGTTTCGCTTAGGATAATACTTTTCAGGTCGTCTCAAAGGATAAGAGATCTTTCTTTCTTACAGCTGCACAGTACTTCATTGTGTATATGTATCACAGCTTTTTTATCCATTCGTCCACTGATGAACACTTGAGCTGTTTCCAGATCTTAGCTATTGTAAATAGTGCTGCTATGAACATGGGGGTACATATATTCTTTCTGATTGGTGTTTCAGGCTTCTTAGGGTATATTCCTAGAAGTGGGATCACTGGATCAAATGGAAGTTCAATTTTTAATTTTTGGAGGTAACACCATATTGTTTTCCATAGTGGCTGCACCAGTCTGCATTCCCACCAGCAGTGTACTAGAGTCCCCTTTTCTCCACACCCTCGCCAACACTTGTTGTTTGATGATTTGTTGATGGCAGCCATTCTGATAGGTGTGAGGTGATACCTCATTGTTGTTTTAATTTGCATCTCTCTGATGATTAGTGATGTTGAGCATTTCTTCATATGTCTCTTGGCCATTTGTATGTCCTGTTTGGAGAGGTGTCTATTTAGCTCCTCTGCCCATTTTTTAATTGGGTTCTTTGTCTTGCTTTTGTTGAGTTGTATGAGTACTCTAT